CCTTTTTGAGCTCCGATGGGAGTCTAAAACAGTACTGCAGTCAGTTAAAGGCAAGTGAGTTTATTACATCTCATTTAAGTTTACAAAAATTAACAAATACCAAATTGGACATGAGAAAGATGTAAAATTAAACATTAGTACCTGGTAAAATAAAACACCATATTTTTTCCCACAATAAATATATGCACATATATGTTACATTAACCTACAGTATGTTAACGTAACCTTGTCTCACATTTGAATGGAAATAAAAAAATATTTCAATATATATCGACTTCAGCAACGTATGTTAGAAACGAACTTCTGCTCACAGTAATACTGGTACAGTAACACAGCCATTTTTCACAATTACATTTGGCTTAGCTGCTACATTGTTATAACATCATACAGTAATTCCAGACGACGATTGAGAACAAGTGTACTTCATTCAACGGAGTGCATCACAGTCTCAAGTGAGTTGAAAAGAGAAAGAATATGGTTCCCCTCTTAATAACAAAGCAATACACTGGCCCAAAAAAAAGAAAAAAACAACAGAAAACCGCACACAAAATAGTGCCACGGATTTAACGAGGAGAGAAGGCGAGTGTCATCTTATACTGTATACCCCATCTTACTTCCTGTTTGACCCTCCTGCACAGCTCATCAAATTGTGTCCAAGGGCCGTGAATAATCCTTACATCCAAATGTATTGTTAAGATTTTCACAAGCTTATTTACTAATTTCTCTTCATTTCTGTTAATTATTGTTAAATTTAATCGGTGGTGCTCTTTCAAATTTAATGATAACTGTCTATAAGACACTGTGAAAAAGTGGGAAGTCCAGTAGGATCACTTGTGTGACAAGTGACCAGGAAATTCACATTTATACGGAGATTCAGTCAATGCATTTCTGCGGGATGCAGCTGAAGTTTATAATGAGAAGCAAAATAGAGTGTAATGTGAGCGTATCTGAAAAATGATATATTAACCTGAGTGTTTGCCCACTGCCCAGTGGAATTAAGCTAAGCTCATATTTGAAACACTGCAATAGATGTCTGAATTAATCAACTTTGGCCAGATAAACACTGTGTATCAAGCCTTTCACATGCAATATATTGTTTTCAATTTTGGTTAAGCTGCCTCTGTCATTCATTTATATACTGTAGTGATTCTAAGCATATGCCAACAATATACTAACAAAGAACACAAAGTATGTCAAAATACGGCAGTGTGTTCTGTTTATCTAATGTTCTATATTGTATCATTCGGGAAATTACAGTTGGTAACATACTTAATTTGTCAATGCAATGAGGCAGCAATACACACGGCACAAATCAGCAGGTATACCACATACCAGACCTCTCATTATTATTTATCATGTAAAGCTCATTTTTAAGCCATTTTGCCTTTTAGTATGCTATTACTTTAAAAGTCTGTTCTGTTACTACACACAAGAAACACAGTTAAAGATAAAATTAAAGGTTCAACCAAGGCCAACTGACTGAGACGTAAACTGCTATGATAGATCAATGTACAGTATAGTACCTACACATTTGTGTAGGAAACCAGAATGTTGGTTGTATGGGGAGGACATACAAACTCCATGCAGATACATGTACTGTAGCACCCCAGGAACTGAACCCAGGGCCCAGTGCCACAAGGCAGCACTCTCAAGTCCCAATAGATATATTTCATGTAGCACATCTGAATGAAGACAGTCCCGATTCTCGCTCATTAGCACTCATTATACCCATTACAAATCCCATTCAGCGTTTTAAGAGAAAAAGAAATATGACAAAAATGAAATAAATTGACCAGTGAATAATACCAGAAACAAACACTAGAAGACACAGGGGCTACGCCAGATCACTCCATAGGTGTACAAACTAGAAAGCACAGGGGTTTCTCAAGACCAGGACTGAGAACCACTGATTTAGTGGTAGTAAATTGTCAGTGGTTTTGTTCTTATATGGAAAATCAAAGAACAGGGAGACACTTTTCAAATCTGATTTTAAAATGAGTTCCATTGCTTACCTAAAATGCTGCTTTCTTTGAATCTTATGTCTCCGATACTTGTTAATGCATGTTCCATTCACTTGAATACAAGACCAAATTAGAACTGCCTGTTTTTGCGTCATCTTTTTCTACCAAGCATTTCCCTTGGATTATGTCATGGAAATCCTGCCAGATTGTAAACAGAGTTCTGTTTTTAATCAGTAGACATGGCCCAGTCAGTGTCAACTGATTTAGACTTTCATAAAAACACTATTTTAATCTCAAAACTGTGAGAAAAATAATGTGTAGTTCCCGTGCAGTAGGTTAGGATGATACAGGTTTAAAGGCAGTAATCTGGGATAGATTTGCATATGCTGTATGGTATCCACCCACATCTTAGTCAGAAAAATCTACTTTATAGCTTCAACTTTTTTTTTATATTGTCTTGAGAAGAATCTACATATTCATATTTACTGGGTACTATAACTGCCTTTCAGGAACTGATCACATTTATTTTTAAAATAAATATTACAAAAACTGTGACATTTTATTCAGAAAGAAAACGGTATTAATAAAGAAAGTTACAGTAACTGAACAGGCAAATTCACAATCTTCTGTTAAAGTTCTATTTGTCTGTATCATATTATACAAAAATAATAATATTTTTGTTAGTAAGAGATTTACTTTGGTAATCTAAATAATTCAATTACACTTCTTCAATACAAATACCCAAACATTTTTTAGGAGTGTACAATGAAACTAGGTTCATAATACACTGTATACACACTTACAGTTTTCTTCACAAGCCTAATATACTCAAGTCAACAGTTCTAAGACCCATGCATTTTTGTGCATTGTTGTTCCTTCAACTGGTGAAAAGAAGCTATTTGACAGGCAAGAGATCTGTTTGAGAGACAGGAAGACACCTACTAAGGTTGAATATTGGCTGTCCTTTTAAAGAAACCGACATGAGGTAAAGACTATTTTATGCGGACAGGCAATACGAAACCCAGTCATATGATAACACCTTATTGTTGTGAGCTCCTGAGAGCTCGCAAAGACATTCTTTTTATTTTTTTGAGGTTTTGTCTCGTTTGGTGCTGATCTTGTCCATTAGCAGTTTGGTGCCCTCTCTGAATTTCTGCTGGGTGAAGTAGAAGAGAATGGGGTCCAGCACACTGTTCATACTGGCAAAGGGGCGAGTGCACTTGTAAATGATTGAGTACCGCTCCCGCATCCCGCAGGCCACATCTGTTAAGGCCCGGATAATCAGGTACATGGTCTTGGTCAAGTGGAAGGGGAAGAAGCTGATGGCAAACACCACCACCACGATGACAATCATCCGGATGGCCTTGTCCTTCTTCTCCCGTACCGCCAGGCCGGTCATGTGGTTGGTCTGGCAAAGGATCCTGGTCATGCAACAGTAGCAGACGACGATGGCCAGGAAGGGAATGACGAAGCCGATGAAGGTGAGGGCCATGCCGTAGGGGAAGTACTGAGCCGACCGGGAGGGCTCGCTCAGATCGTAGCACACCGTCCTGTTCCTCTGAATGCCGGTAGTGGCAAAGTGGAACGTGGGCGCACAGATGACCACGACGATCATCCACACCGCTCCACAGACCACCCAGGCAAACTTCCTGCCCCCCTTTTTGTGCCACTGGGCAAGGGGGTAGCAGATCCCGAAGTACCTTTGGAAACTCAGGCAGGTGAGGAACATGATGCTGCCGTGCAGGTTGCTGTAGAACTGGAAGCGCACAAACTTGCAGGTGTACTCTCCGAAGGGCCAGTAGTCGTGCTGGGCGTAGTTATAAATGAGCAGGGGGAGGGAGCAGACGTACAGGAGGTCCGCAATGGCCAGGTTCAGCATGTAGATCCTGGAGCGGGTCAGCACTTTCCGCGACCTCCAGATCTGAACGATGACCGTGAAGTTCAAGGGCAGCCCCAGGATGAAGACCACGCTGTAGACCAGAGGCAGGAGGATCCGCTTGAAGTCCTCATTGTAGGTGCAGGAGGGGCTTCTGGAGACTGTAACGTTCTCCATAGGATTTCCTGGGCAGACGTCCGAGTTACTGTGGGCAGGTTCTGTGCCGAGTTACATTCTGTGAGCCAAAATGAAAGAATCAGAGAACACCAGAACAACCTTGTTAACAACACTGAACAGGAATACCTTTTCTTTCTGTATAAACACTTTTTTTTCCCCCGTTTCACAACGCACACTGAACAGCAAAGATTAACCACAAGCCTCTGCTATGAAATTTCTGTAGGACCCTCCGTTGTGAAAGGGGATTCTGCAATGTAATTGTGGGGTATTGAAAAAAATTATCCCAACTGCGAGATATTTTGGTGTGACTCTAGCAGTTTCTTCTGATTACTAGATTTTATCTACAAAGGCATTAAATGATAAGGAGGTCAGAAGGGCCACAGAACAGAATAAAATTGTTATTCAGTACTTCAGTTATTCAGTGTCATAAAGTCACAGATAAAGAGTATGTACAATAACCACATGCCTTTATTACGAACATGTAAGAAATGGCAGACAGTGTGCCAGGAAATATAAGAATTCAATTGCTTCCCACAGAGACTCGAAGGACTCAAAGCAGGAAATAATTATTGCAGCAAGCCAACACAATCTCACACAGACAGGACAAAAGGGAATGGCGCTTGAAGGTTAATATAAAACAGCACATGATATGATGGATTGTGTTACTGATTATCTACCCAAAGTATGACACAGTAATTGAAAAACTATATGTATTGTAAGTACTTAGGCCTATATATTTTTATATCAGTATAAATGCACAGCTATTTAAAAACAATAAGAGACTGGTTTTAAACAATTGGCAGTTGTTACAGTATAAATCACAAGTTTTTATGGATAACAGTTATCTGCTACAGTTTATGTGTTTGGTTTGTGTGATAGTAATACATAATAAGCAACTCTTTTAATAAAGGTGAGAGACATTACTGGGTCAGGGATATTTCATTTAAGTGTCACTTTAAAAGTAGTTGTTTGAGGATGTCAGTTCATTTTATCCTCACTGAGCATGTTAAGTGATGTTTACTGATGTTTAGCTGAAAATTTACATTGCATTTTAAATCCATGATCTTCAAATTTTTTTCTTAAGGAATTCTGAAAGGGCAAATGGAGATACTGTAAGTAAGGAGCTCCATCACAGAAATATGGCTGAAGCCTAGAATGACTACTATTATTTATCCAGACATTTTCCCAAATTTTATTTGGTCTTCATTTTAAAAAGCCACAGGAAAATGAAGTGCTCTTTTAACTGTTTTTTCTCGATTTACGAGCATACCGATTAACTACAGAACATAAAAATGACAATGCTACACAAAAAAAATATGGAAATAAATAAATACATGACATTTGTGACTTATTCAGGATGAAGGATTAATATTTTGTCTTCTAAACCTGAGGACCCAGTCCAGCAGAGACGGGAAAGTTGCTTCAATGTGCTTTTGTCTCACATTTCCCAAGTACTTATAGCAAATTAACAGACTATTCTGAACTCTGGGTTCAGTCCTGTCGTTGCAGCTTCTAAAGATAAATTGAGAGAATTGAAATGTAATTCAGTTTAAAAATCTGATTGTCTTTAAAAAACCCTTTGTCACCAGAGGGCGCAGTGAGCGCGCCTTTTAACTTATGTTCGTAAATGAAACACAATTGCATTAAACTTCCCGTAGAAGACTTGACAAAAAGAGAAAGTCAAAACTACGGTGCTTCAGAAAAATCGTTCTTAATGTTTACAAAATAATTTATGCTTTCATTATACTACACAAACTTCACACCACGCCATATCAAACCACCTACCTTTGTCGGGTTTGTATGGTTCTCTATAACGGTTTCTTTTAACCAACGAGAAACCGCATATGAAATGAAAAAATACAGCCGTCAGTGCCCCTTAATTTTAAGTGTTGGTGTTTATTTTAACTCCCCTTCGATAAGAAATGTTTAATTTACATTAACCAGGCAAGTTTGGCCGGACTTGTGTCCAAGGCCTGATGATGTGTACTTTATACAAGGATAAAATAGTCCACATTTCAGCAACAACATATTTGTTGTGGTCTCCCCCCCTTTATAAAAAAAGAGAGCCAGAGTAAAAAAAAACTCCTCCACACTAGATTAGTTTTGCCCTAATTTAATATATGTTCAGTAAGTTTAAACCCATCTGCAGGGACCGGCTTTGCCACTTATAACGTCTGCAATACGAGCATATGGTGAAAGCCACACAAAAACATCAGTAATAGCTGAAACCACCCTGGCAAAAACATGTTGGCTGTAAACGCACCGAGCTGACATCTAAACAAATTTAACACATCGTACCCAGAAATGAGTACGGAGAGGAATTTTCAGCATTGTGAAGGGTAAACGAGCAGATGGCGGCAAACAGTTTCCTGGATACAAGTGCTTTCCCCAGCTTCATCAGCCTGTGAGTTTTCTTTCACTGCCTCGGGAAGCTTGTTTGAGTAGGGCAGAAAAGGACCTGTTGAGCTAAGCGATTCATTATCCTCCTATGCGGCTATTTGAACTGTCTCAAGCTCATGTACTGTATTACTTGGCGCATTCTGCTTGCAGACCAAATCCTGAGACATAACTTAATTTGCATTTACTACCGGATTTACAGTAAACACTGTTATAGTCTTCCCAAGTATTGTTCCTCATACATACAGTTTAAAAACAGGACAAAAATACACATTTAAGTACTTAGTTAAGTAGTTGTAACCAGAATTACTCTCTTCAGAATGGTTTTCCTCTATCCCTTTGACTAAACGGTTTTTCAGGAATTCAGAACAAGCCTTTTCATCCGTCTAGGCAAGACTGGAAAGATGAGTGTTTCCTGGGGTTGAAAGTCATTATTAAAGAAAGAGGGAGCCGGTCACGTTCTGCACTCAAAGAACGATAAAACACAAGTATAAAAAAACATGTAAAAAAGCCTGAGCCTAAAAAATCCTAAAGAGCCCAAATAAGAAGGAAGAAGGTACATTGTATCTCAGAATTTGTTTTACACCTGCTCCAACTGTTCTGCCACTTGAGTAAGCCTGTGAGAATAACTACAGTATGGAGCACCAGTGGAGCAGAAATGGTCAGTGATCTACAGAGACAAATATTTCCCATCACCCCTACACAACTGCAACGCCTTTCTTAACAACAATTCCAGTGAACCAAACTCCTTTTGAGAAGATTTTGAGGCACTAAACAATGGTGGCTTTATACCCTCTGCGGAATTGCTGATTATGATGGAAGAGGTCCCCAGTGCCTGAGGAACCAGCTGAATACAAACTGGACAAGGTAAATAGCCTCTGCTTGTTGGAGGATATTTCATTCCCTCCTCCATGGAAGAATAAGTTCTTACTGTGCAAAACAATATACTAAAAGGAGAAATTGGACAGTAAGGGTAAGGAAAAACATGAGCTCTGAAAGTGCTAATTAACTCTGTTAATTAATTAACTATTACATTTCTTTTGGAAGTGGTATAAAATAAATATTTAACCAAAGACATTAATTAGTGTAGAATGTTTTATTTTACAAATGGTGAAGTATTAGCTAAAGGTGAAGCATACTATAAGTACAGTATACTATATTGAGGGTGTTCATACGGTCTGATTTTGATAACATCCTGATGTGGTGCAGACAGCACCAAGAAAACTGCCTTTCTTCACTCATAAGGAAACCTGCAACACAGCATCCACGGCCAGGAAACAGATTTCTGCAAACAGCAGAAAACAAAGAAGAAGTGAAAAAAAATATAAAGGATGCAGCTGAATTCTTTCTTTTGAATTGAAGCTCTTGCACAAAGCAGGTGCTTTAAAAACCACCACCTGTGGAAGAAAAAAAAAGAAGCTTTTGCTAGTTTTCGATGATTGGAAAAGGCTCACAACTGACAGCCCCTGCTTAAAATGTGTTTTGTTCATTTCGCATAATTTATTACGAATAGATCTCTGTATGTCTAAAGAGACAATAATGATCACATTTCATAATAATTAATATAATTTATACACAGTAGTAGCACTTTTCATCCCAACGAACCACAGAATGTTCTACACTTACTTATTAGAGGCAGCCTTGAAATGCAGCCTCACCCTGGTGATGCACAACAGTGATTGTGCACCAGCAGCTACTGAACACAGCAGATCAGGTAGAGACGTGTGAATCAGGTGTGACAAAGTTATTACTAGTTTTCCAACTTTGTATCCCATTTTAAATGACCCTTATGGATTAGCCTTATATTTTTTTTTGTTTCAAGAAATGTTCTAAATCCTGCAGTCATGGTCACCCTGCTTTTATTTCTTGGGCGGGTTAGAGAAGACAACGCTAACAACTTTAAGACATGAAATTCATTGCCTTATGTCTCAAGATAATTAGCTCAACCACAGAACTACAACCACTGTATAGTCTGGATTTTGTGCAATTGCTGGGAAACCAAGTACAGACTTGAACTCAGCTTGTTTTTCATTAACATGAGTTTTGAAAGTTAAAGTACTACCCTTACATTTATAAACAGCGACTTGCTCTATCTTTGTTTCACCTTAAAATCAGTGGTTTTGTGATCATTATGGATGTAGCAACTACACAATTTTCCCCCTATTGAATTTAACAGAAGAATTTCTCAGAAGACTCAGCTCACAGAAAGCCTACTAAACTACTTTATATTGAACCTAAGTTGCAAATCTATCATTATAGATGATAAAGTGGGTCCTTTTAAGTATAAAATAATATTGTCTGCATAAATGAGGATATGAGATTTACCTAACACTTCTGCAATATTTTTGCTGGAGACAAAAGTCAGACCCAATATAGAACTTTGTTGGCCCCCCTTTATAACTGGAAGAGGTTGGGATACAAATCTAATTTTACACACAGCAGACAGTTTTCTTAGTAATTCTGAAACAATGCAAAGAAGTTTATATGAAGACCAGTATTATGCAACCTTATCGGGACTGATACACAGACTCAAAAGGATTAGGTAAATCAGCTCAGATAAATCAAGTCTGATTCGTACTGAGTGCTGGTATGGTATCACAGAGAACATTAAAGGCTGCACAAAATGAGAACCAGACTGGATACAATTTCAGCCAGAATTTTCTTCCTTGATTTTCAAAACCCAAGGCAAAATGGATATACTGGGTGTACAGTATGTGTATAAAGTTAGGGTCTGATTTATCACCATAACTAATAAAAAGAAGGCAGAATAAGGGCAGCCTTCCTATTTGCTGGGATTTCAGCTGTTTTAAAAGAGAGATGTATAAGTAGACCACATACAGTATAAGATGAAAAGCAATAATAATAACTCTACACCACTCAGCAGACTTATTTCTGTGTGCCTTACACAGTTCATTGAGTACTCCTGATTCACTAAATGGCCGTTTTGCAAAACTCCACGGACTTTGAGGTGGACCACTTTGTAATCAAATTGTTCAGCAAAAATGTTAATTATCCAGTTGACTTGTCAAACACGAGAAGCATTAGTGACATGTTCAACAAATTAAAAAAACATGTTTTATCCGTCACATTATTTTATTAAGTAATTTAAACTGGTAAGTGAGGGGGTAATTGTTTGTCCTCCATGAACTTATTTTGCCTTCAAAGTTTCTGAATGTGAAGAAAGATTAGAATAATGATGGTTGTAGTACCTTACATTTTAGAACTTTGTGGTAACTTGTGTGCTTTGATGTCTAATCTGTGTGAAGGAAAATCTTCCAGTGGGATCTTTAGAAGCCCCAGCAGTTCACTGGGCTTTATTCTTTCTCTTAATTAAAGTTGACAGCATGGAGTCAAACAAAGAGCTGTCATATAAGTTATTATATATTTCCCCTTTTAATTCTATTTGTAATTGATCCATGCCTCAAAAATGTGTTTCCCGAAGATGATGACCTCATAAATTGCTGTCTACAAGGACACAGGCATAGAAACCGCACAACAAGGGAGGTTTGAACTTTCTTGAATGTTTCGGATTTATTTCAACAATAAAATGAAGCAAATGTAAAAATTATATCCCACATAATTTGCAGCCTGTTTTGGTAACGCTGCCTGAGAGCCAAGGGCTGTTCTGATTTGTGTGTGCCCCTCGCCCCCTATTTTTGTGAGTACAGGGCCTGATTGATGTGTGTGCTGACACGACAACCAGCCTGCTTGTCACTTCAGAAGCAGGCAGGCGATGAAGACATTTGCCAAGACCCAGAACCTCTGCTTCCTTCAAAGAGTCAGTGGGAGATACAGCCAAGATACTGATCCTGAGCCCTAACGTCCACACTTCCAGAGTCCTAAACGAGGTTCAGTTCCCTCTGGATTACTAACAGAAACAGGCATGATAAGTCACTACTAAGCCAACGGAATGTGTAACAAAAACATGGTTGTCTTACTTGTTAGATAGCTGTATTAAAAGCCAGTCACAGACGGGTCTTTCAGCATGAACAGAAATCGTTGTCCTTCCTTAGTGTTCGTCACATTTCAAGTACATGTGAATGAAGAGTTTCGTCCAAGATGGGGATGGAGATTGGACTCTCCCTATATTTGCCACTTCAGATCCTACGCTATGCAGATCTGCTGCTTTTGATTGCTTTTGAAGTTTTGCCCAATATCATTGCCACGTTTCAGCAAAGTTTATTTTTCTTCTAATTTCTAGAATGTGGAATTTAGAGCTAATTTAGAGCTAATGCAGTGTGATCAGACAAGGAAAAGAATTCTGCTTTTTTAAACTGATGGCTTGTTCTTTGCCTCCAGCTCTCAGTTGTTAATCCGCTTCACTTTAGTAATGTAGCTTCAGAGAAGACGCCCTTTATAGAGACGGCAGAGTTGAGATTGACAAGGCCCTCATAACATCTTCAAAATCATTCAGATTGCTTGAAGTCGGATTGCTTTGAGATTTAGCATATCCCAAAACGTATTATGAAAAATGCCTTTTCCTCCTGAAAATCTTAAAATCTTTCCTGTCTAAACATTTTTGCTTGTTAAATTGTTAATGGGAAAAAAAGAATGTGCACTCGGGTTTCCATTTTTGGAAGTGTTACAGAAGCTTTTTTGCAAAAACTGACTGGATGTGTCACGCCCAGTACACCTAGAGGGCACTCTACATCTCCCCTGTTCCTAGTTCCCTGTGATTACTCTTGTCTTTCTGGTGTGTCTTGTTGTGTAACCTATTGACTTCCTGCTTCTGTTCTGCTCCTCGCTCAGCATTGAGGTTCGGATGTCCTGAAACCCGCCTAGCACCAGGTCGCCCCACGTCCGCTACCTGAGGGCATAGGTTTCTATACGGTATTTCCTGAACAGCTGAGCCCGGGCCAACTCCTGCCACTACGCATAGGGTCTTTTTCACTCTCCTGCCATTCTCCTGCCATTCCACGGTT